TGTCAACGCACCTCATAGGTCAGAGTTCGGTTACCACATTCAGAAAGGTCTCCAATAGGGATGAGAAACAAGCTTGAACTTCACCATTCAGAAACTCTTATCTGCTTAAAGTTCTTTAACGTGTCTGATTTGAGCGCTCATAGGTTGGCTCGGCAATATCCTAGAATGAATGCCTGCTTTTTTGGCCGTAAGTAATGCACAGGCTTATCATTCTGACGACTCTATTGTTCCAATCCTGCCTAGACTGGTCACATTTGTTATCTTCTAGGATCAGTTGTACCTTAATTCGTAAAACTGCACAGCCAATTATGAGCTCAGTTGTCCTAGGCATCAACTGGGTTGAGTCAACTGAGTGCGTGGCCCAAGCTGGCTCTCCAGTTTTTATCCTGCCCTGTACAAATCTGTTGCATCACTAAGTTTTGCACCTTCGTGTATGTCTCATTTCATTTAGCTTGGAATTTTTTTTCTGCTCACCATCATGCTCACTCCTGATCCTACCGTCCTTACTCTCGAAACACAGTCTCCGCTTGTCTGGCCCCGGTACGTTTTTCCTTGCGCTTTGGACCGCCTCGGGCATGTCTGCAATGCGCGCCAGTCGCTGCAGTGTCGTTTCCTCTTGGCATTGCTTTTGGTTCCGGCCCGCCTTCTCTTTGTTTGCTCTTGCTCCGTGTACGTTCTTTGCCGCCCCTTCGCTGTTTGCCGCCCCAGTGCCCCTAGCTCGACCTCGCGCGCTCAGTCCTTCCTCCTCCACCTCTCGAAGGTTCCCATCGCCACGCGTCAGCGCAAAACCTGTTCCGCTGAAAGCCCTTTTTCTTATGTTTGGCTTTCCTTGCTCAATTTCTTTGGCCTTTCCTTGTTCCTCTTGCTTTTCGTGATTACGTAACCCTCGCTTTTCTGCCCAACTTTTATTGCGACGCCCGCGATCGGTTCTTGCTTGCCTTGAAATACTCTTGTCGCAACCTCGCTTTTTTCGGTCGAAAGTGTGGGGCATTCGTTCCTCGCTCGTCACCCTTAAACCAATCTCTGCTGGGGGCAGCGGAATCTGGTCGCTCCTGTTCGCCTGGGTTGACTGGCACCCCCTGAGGCGGGTGAAGGATTACCTTGCAACTCATTGGAGTCCCCGCGTCGTGTTTCGCCGAAGCACCCAAACTCCTTCAACGAAAATGACCTTTTTCCTAATACGATTGTCATAGTGACTGAGTTCATCGCATGTGGGAAATTGCTCGCCGGTGCTATTCTGGAACAAACTAAAGTCGGCTTGACAGCTTGCGTTCGCGCATGCGAGGAGTATGTTACGCGGTGATTCCTGGAGTGCCAGTCCCTCCGTTCCCCTCAACTCCGCTCCATAACTCTCAACTATGAAATTATTAGCGTGACTAGAATCCATTTATAACGCGAGAAGCCATGAAGTTCAACGGCACCTCATAAGGTCAGAGTTCGGTTAACACCATTCAGAAAGGTTCCATAAGGGGGAGAGACAAGCTTGAACTTCCAATCTCGAACTCTTACTGCCGAAAGTCTACTATTAACACGTTGACGACAAGCTGACGCGCATGCGCGTCAAGAATTTCGCACCGCATCGGACATTCTGACGCGCAAGCGCGTCAAGTCTATGCTACTCACTTTTATCGTGCTTGCGCTCCTTCCTCTCGGGTTTCTTGTATTCATTCTATAGATAATACATTAGCATGACTATAAACCGCTTGGCAGCTAGAGTGGTCAAGTATCTTTTGATTAAGCAAAGATTTTCCGAACGCACAAAACTTTCGTTCCGATTCTTTCTTAATAATACTTTCACTGCCGTCAATATTCTTATGAAAGATTTTAGAGTTAGTTGAAACAAAACTCTGTGAGTTTCAATATATTTGATTTGATGGGAGTACTTAGATATAAATGCTTTTAATTTCATTCGCAGCGAAAGTGATGTTTTTTTACTTCTTCGTGGTTATTATGCGCTCTTCTAAACGAAAACCTTTTGCTACTTATATACTTAACCTTTGTGCGATCGTCCTTGCCGAAATAGTCCTATGAAATTCAAGTTATTGTGCATTTTTAACAAAAAATAAGCGTAAGTAAGGTGAGGACGGCGCGGTCGCAAAATCGCTCCTGTCCCACGAGGTGCAAAATGCCAAAACATGCGATGTCGTCAACGTGTTAAGTGTCCGATTTGACGCTCATAGGTTGGCTCGCAATATCCTAGAATGAATGCCTGCTTTTTTGGCCGTAAGTAATGCACAGGTTTATCATTCTGACGACTCTATTGTTCCAATCCTGCCTAGACTGGTCACATTTGTTATCTTCTAGAATCAGTTGTACCTTACTTAATTCGTAAAACTGCACAGCCAATTATGAGCTCAGTTGTCCTAGGCATCAACTGGGTTGAGTCAACTGAGTGCGTGGCCCAAGCTGGCTCTCCAGTTTTTATCCTGCCCTGTACAAATCTGTTGCATCACTAAGTTTTGCACCTTCGTGTATGTCATATTTCATTTAGCTTGGAATTTTTTTTTCTGCTCGCCATCATGCTCACGCCTTTTTTTCGT